AAAAATGAGAAGTCACTTTCTGAAGTTGTTAGCCTTTTGCTTTTTTTTTTTTTTTTACCATAAAGAGTACCGACTTTTAAAGTATCTCGCCAGTGAGTGCTTGAAGAGCCATTTTAAAAGTCCAAATTAGTGATATGATGAATAAACCTTGATAAAGGGTCTGTTAGGGAGCCATGGCTGCTGCTGGTTGTTCCAGCAGGCATAGCCATACTCCCAGGTCGACAACTCGGCATGCATGCCTACAGAACTGCAAATGCCTGTGTGCATACACAGGACATGTTTACACCTGACCCCTTTGCTGACACAAAACAAGATATTTATATCAGCATTCAGCTTCTCCCTATGCTGAGTGCTCTTTGCTTAGATGTTCCTGACATGGTTACCTATGCCTCTCAGCTTCTGCTACACTTGACTCTGGCATGTTTGTTCTTCCTCACTCCCAGAGGGATTATAATGGATCTCTGTTGGACACTTTACTCCTGACTCTGGATTGTCTCTACTACTCAGGTACTTCTCTTGTTGCTGACCCTGGCCCGCCTTTTGATTTTGTTTTCTTTTGGCAAGTATATGTTGGCCTTAGCCTGCCTCTCGACTTTCTCTCCACCTATCGGTCTGCTACCTGGTGCTGACCCTTGCCAGCATCTTGACTATATCTCTACTTGCTGATCTGTTGCCTATCCCTAACCATGTCCTGCCTTTTGACTTGGCCTCTACCTACTGATCTTCTAGATGTTAGTGTCCATAGTCTTCCTCTTGACTATGCCCCTGTCACCAATCTGCTAACTGTAGCTCACCATGACAGCCTCTAGACCATAATGCTGCTCAACCTACACCTTCTTATTGTTTCCGTCATTGTCCTGGCCTCTACTAAGGTATGTGACAGGGACATTATGCAGGCCCAAAGCATTGGTAAATTACTTGATTTGAAAATAAAGAGGTATTTATATTAGAGAGTTATAGTGACTTCTGGATGATTTGGACTTTAAAGCAGGTACATCTCACCCTTTGGACATGATGGACATTTGTAGTGATGCAGTGTTCATCTAGCTAATATATAGCAGGCATCACTAACTTTTGGTATAGGTAAGATCTGTGGAAGACACAATTGCTTCAAGCCTTTGAGTGAATTTATATTTGTTTAGGGCTTCACTGTCTCAATGTGGATCAGTCTTTAAAAAAGTGGATGCATGGAACAGTGTTTGGGCCAACCAATTGGCTTCTAGGCCCGAGCACTGCATTATGGGAGGTCACATGCTCTCTCACAACATGTATTTTGTGGTGGCTGTGATGGAGGAAGGAATGGCAGAGGAGCGTTGGGAAAGTCCATATAAGTATATTGGAGGGTGAGCTTCTAGTAAAAATAAAAAGTAAAAAAATAAAACTATACCCAAGGATAGACGCACCTATACTGTCTTGGCAAGTAAACAAATTACAGGCTAGAAACCAGCTCTGCCAGCTCTGCCCTGGTCAGACAGACAGTGAGACACTGCTCACATGTAAATTACATGGAGAGTCAGAAGCATCTGGCTCAATCCATCCTGATCCATTGCTCAATAAGTTATCCACACCAATGACTAGAGGCACCTGCTCTACACTGGCAAGAACAGATGCCAGTTCTTGTGTCCACCACAACACAAAGGCATGTTTTTTGCCTGCTAAACATCATGAAATACCTTTTCATTTTAAAAAAAAACATACCAGAGGTAAGGGGAACCTGCTTTGCCTCTCATAGATAGTCACTGCTTAATATAAATCAAATCCAAAGTTTGATTTATTGTAAAACAAAATTAATCAATTTCTGTAGTGTAGAGGTAATTCTGGCATAGGTAGTTCTAACCAGATATTTTCAGGGTTATTCACTAAAAGCGTGAAGAGTTTGGAGAAGGCAGGAGAAGTGAACAATCTAGGCCAAAATAGCTGATTTGTAAAAATTCTCCAATGCAACTCACTTTCCAGTTCAGCTATGTTGTCCTAGTTTGTTCACTTCTCCTGCCTTCTCCAAACTCTTCACCCTTTTGTGAATAACCCTGTAAATCTTGCTGACTATCTCCTGCTCCAGCATAGAAACTGCTAACTCCAAGCTCCAATGTTATTCTGCCATGTACAGTATCTTTCTGGAGAGAGCAGGAAGCCATGGAGATGCTTCAAAGCTAGAAGAGCTATATTGACAGATGGAAAGGACCATTGACAGGTGGGAGGAAAGTGGAGACAGCTATCAGTGTAGAAACTGGCTGCACAAAGCTGCTTGGCCTCCAAGTAGCGAGGCTCTTTCCATTACCTGTAGAAATTCCTAACCAGCTGACAATAATACTGGCCTTACACTAATCAGTTTATAGCAATTCCAAACACTTTTAACCAGCTTTTGATGATTTATACAATAGTGAATACATTTGACACCACTTGAAAACTTTGATTGATTTTTAAATATTGAAATACATTTACTATTAATTGCAATGTATTAGAAACCAGTTGAAAACAGTAACCCCGTCAAGCAATCTGTCAGAAGGATTTTGCCACAATCAGTCAGCTCGACTGACTTGCAGTCACAGAACAGTGGATTATCATTTTGGTTCTTCTTCAGAGAACAAAAAAAATCGGATTGTGATGTGTATTGCCAGTTTAAGAGTTTGTAGTGTGTAAGAAACACACAAAGGCAGGACCTGTTATTGTAGTAGAGAATAACATAACAAGAATAGAAGTAGAACTGATGTGGGATGGTGAATGGAGTATGTGCAATTCCCAAACAGATATACTTTATCTAGGAACCTCAGTTCGATAAAATCATTATTAACAACAGTATGCATCAAAGAACCATGGAGTAATGTGTACAAAAGGCCTCGATGGTGAGATTCAGAATTCAGACATCAGAATTCCTCCAACTACATAAGAGATAATGTAAATGGGAGGGGGCAGAAAAATAAATAATTTGAGTTGTGGGAAAGCTCAATGGGTAGTGAATGGGGGCGATGGGTATGCCCTTAATTGTGCTCCTTCCTTCCCATATAACTTCTTAAAGTAGCCTTAAACTCTTTTTTTCAATAATGAATCCAGATCAAACAAATATACATTGCCCAGCTAAATATTCCTTTACATTTTTGGAAAATCACTTACAGTCATCACGTTTCCAAATGATTGGCTCGAACAATCACAGTTTTACTTCCTTGAACTTGTTGTCAAGTACAAGATTCTAAGGAGCAACACAGTCCCCGGCTGCTGTCCATCTACTAGCTTGGAGAAGGAAGGAGGAGCAGGGAGCAGAGATGTGGCTTGCCCTTCTGTGCTTATATGTTTGTGGAGACACACACAGCTTACTTGCATGCACAAGGATGGCTCCATAGCACCCTGATGTACCGAGCTCCCTCTGATCCTTTGTCACAGAGCCACCATGCTGGTCCTGGGCTCGCAACGGGCACAGTGGAGCTCGGGACCAGTGGGAGGGGGGCCGTGGAGAGGGGGGGGTGTACATACCGGCACATTATACAAGCAATTGAGCCGGCGGACCGCTTGTATCTAAACTGGCATCACTGCCTGTTTTTAAATGTTGGCAGTTTTTCGGTGCGCGCGAGTGGGTGTGGCTGATGTTTAAAAACAGCCACTCAGATCCAAGAAGGCGGTTAAGGATGTGGATCCCCCAGAGAGGACAGGATGTTGGTGTGTTTCAAAAATGTACGTAATAAGGATTACCAGGGCACTGTTATGATTGGCTACATGAAGAAAACATGTGTGACAAACATAGAAGAAAATAACCCAGCACCACATCCAAATAAAGAATATTGTTGAATAAAGCAACTCACTGAAAACCTAGTTGTTGTGATATTATTTTATTTTTTGTTCATTAAGGGAAAAAGGATTCAGTATTCACAGACAATTGGGTTATACTGCCACCTACAGAAGGATTTGGAAACTGACAAACAAAAAAGCAATTGGCCAGCCAGGTATAACTTCTCCCACTCCCAACGTGCTTTAGTTTGTTACTAGTCTCCTAGGAGGTTGAACATCCTTTCTCTGTAAAAAAAATTTAACAATTTTACCAGCCGTTTTATTTTTTCTCAAGATAGTTTTTTGCTTCAATCAAGACTTCTTCTACATGCTGCTAAGCTGGGCTCTTTATGCATCTAGATTTGTATTTTCTCAGCTTTGGAGGCCGTACACAGACCCTGCTGAGCTGAAGACTGCAGGGCCTTCCAGGAATGTTAACATCAGGCCCTGGGCTCTACTTGTGGTGCTTTCCAGACAGTTGTGTACTGTGTTAGTTAGCTGTAGAGCACTTTCCAGGTTAGGGCTTCTGGTGGGACTCAGTCTCACAAGACTAACTTACAAGTTGGCCGTGGGGACCGAACATCGGGAGCTACTTTGTTTATGGGAATGCATGAACACCACCATTAATACCATATTCGGTTGGTTTCTGCAGAAAGGGTTCAACACTCAATGAGTCTTTAATCTGGTTTTGTTGGCTCTTTAAAAACCACCTTTTGAACCGATCATCATATATTTCCCTGTGCAATGTTGCATTCCTGGTTGCTATTGGATCTGCAAGTCGTTTATGTGAGCTCATGGCCTTGTCCTGTAAAGAACTGTCTTTGTTTGTACACAAGGAAAAGGTGGTGTTTTTTTTGCACGTCAGTGTCCAACTCCTTCTGTTTATGAGCAGTATAACAATCATTTCTGAATAATGAAACCCGTGTGCTTTAATAAACTCCAAGAAACTAATTTTACAGTAAGTACAAAAATACATTTTTTTCATTAGGTAAAAAGCGTTATATTTAATTATAGTGCTCCAAGGTGAAACAAAGAACAGTTTAATTTAGTCATTTATAGGCAGTTATATGTTTTTAATGTAAATGAACAATATGAAAATCACAGTATATTTCTTTATATTTATTATTTAAACTACATTTATTATAACTAACAAAGGTTTTATTTCATATGAGATTTGTAACCTTCTAAATCTGGTGTGATTGCAGGTACTCATAGCTTTATTGTGATTCATTCTAAAATGTCTAGAACTTGCAATATTTTTCATAGTTCAGCAAATCACCCAGCTTTGTCCCAGCAAGCTTTTGTTGGAACTTTTCATCCATCTCTTTGCTCTGTTCTTCGGTAAAGAGGTTCTTCCAGTCTCCAACTTGTCCTGTTCAAAATAACAAAATCCTTTATCTGGTCGAATAGAACGTCAAGGGGTGCATCAGCAACTTTACAGCTTTCTGTGAACAAAAGAGGACTTGCTCTTCCTAATTTCCAAAAATATTATTGAGCAGCAGGATTGATCATGGTTGGATGATGGTTTAAACACATATACGATAACTCAAGAATTAATTTTTAAACATAGGATTTGGGCTCATACTAATACTAATCTACGCAATTTAGTTTTTAATGGCCCTAGATCTAACCCCAGTATAACTCTTTCATTGCAAACCACCCTTAGAGTTTGGAATGCTGCAACACATGCTTTCTGAAAACCTAATGTGTGGTCACACACTACATATGGATTGGAAATATATTCCTTTTGATATTAAACAAAATCCACTACTGAGAGATACTTGTGCTTCATTGAAACATATTCATATGTTTTTAAAACTAGAATATAAAATCACTAAATCAATATCTATTTGGAACCTTTGTTGATATTAGACAAGGAAATGTTTATGGACATTGTTACTATGACTAAAAGATGGTTGCTTTTACACTCTCATTTGATAGATTTTGATAACCACCCTTCGGTTGGATTTAATTACCTTCAGTTTAAACATAATATGCCAAGTAGATGTGGATTCACTTTTTTTCCAGTCAATATGGTAATAGTCATAGAATTTAGTAGTTTCCTACTATAATATTTCCTACTATAATAATAAATGTCCAAAATGTGGCCTTCCTAACATGAATTTGGCACATGGTTTGTGAAGAAATAAAACTTTTTGGTCGAAGATTGATAGGTACATAAGTCTAATGTCTAAAATTAATATTGCTAGACCCCAAAAGTTTTTTCTGTTTCTGTTGCCTAAGAACTGTACTGATGGCTTATCTATTAATATACTAACTTTATTGAATTACATTCTAATTTAAAGTAAGAGATTCATTCTAACACCTTAGATTAAAAACTGTATTCCTGCTATAAACAAAGTCAAATCCCATTTATTAGAGATTTTCAATATTGCTCTGATATATAAGGAATCAGTAACTAACAGTGTCCTCTTCATGGATTCTGGAAACCCTTTCTGTATGCTATACCTCTCCTATAGATTAATAAGCTACTGCCCTTTATTTGTATTTACCTGTAGTACCATTCTGTTAGATTCTACTTGCATGGATCTGCTGCTTGTTGTATCTGCTTTGTTGTATTCTCCTTCTAATTTTGTTTCTGTTTTTATCTCTAAAACCTAAAAATCCTTTTAAACAAATTCCGGATCTTAAGATATGGTCTGATTATGGTATGAAAACATTGAACTATATTATACATGCAGTCATTTTATTTTACCCTTCAACAAACTGAAAATCAAATTTAATATCCCCAACCACATTTTTTGATTATTTACAAATAAGACACGCAAGACAATACAGTAAACTCCCAGCAATCTGGCACCCACGAGGATCGGCAGGTGTCGGATAACTGTCGTTTCTTGTTGCTTGAGAGTTAATAATAACTGCTCAGAACTTTCTCTCTTAGGTCCTCTCCTCTTCTCAGTGGACGGGTACAATAGCCAGCCTGCTATTGGCTATTGCAATTTGAAATAGCCAATAGCAGGCTGGCTATTGCTCCCCATTGTTTACATTCTGCTGCTGACTACGGAATCTAGCCACCCGCAAGCAGCAAGATGTAAACAAAGAATTTCACGAGCAACTAAATTAATTTAGTTTCTAACAAAAATATTTTAGTGTGCACCAAGCAACCGACAATTTTTTAGTGTTCATCAAGCCACCGGCAAAAAATGTCCTCCATTTTTTTTTGCCGGTTGCTTAAGAGTGCTGGTTGCTTGAATGCCGGATATTGGGGAGTTTACTGTAACAATTTTTAGCAAAGATTACCGCAGCCTCAGATCCTACTGAAACCTTAAGTAGTAACATCACTCTCCTCACTATATTTGAAACTACTATACACAGATGCCCCTAATGTAGACAATCTTTCCCAGAAATGGTGAATTTATATTCCCATTATGTACAGAGAGGGTTGGGAGACACTTTTTGCTGATTCTGTGACCCAAATGATTTCAGCTAGAGAATAATGAACTAAATTAAGATTTCTAGGGTTCGCTGTCGCACTCTGTATCGTATTGAGTGGGGTCGGAACCCCCAACACATCATGCACCACCACATGGTTGCAAACTGAATAAATTAACAGACTGAGATGTCCCTTTGGTTCTCAATTGTGATTCCTTGGGGCCTGTTGGGATTTGTAGTAGTAGTAGTTGTCTCACTGATGCATAAACAATAATGATTGTAGCAATTAACGTGGCAGCGTAGTTAAACTAAATTCAGGTTATCAGTCCCAGTAGTACAGACATATAATGCAAACTGAACACTCATAAGTAGAGTACTGTCACTTTAAGCCAATGGAATAGTATGCAATAGTAACTCAATGGAGTGTGCAGGTGGTACTTGCGATTATGGGGAAAACAGAATCCCCCTTGGGAGTTCGGGCATCGAGAGCCGGTGGTTGTGGAATTGTCCAAGATCTCAGTCCTCTGGAGGAGGACTACAAGGTTCAGGATGGCAGCGGTAAGAGCACTAGAAGCTTGCTTGACGTTCTACCTCGCTAGAACGGTGAGCAAGTGAGCCGTCTCAGCCTTTGTAGGAGAGACAGGTGGGCTGGGGGTGGAGCCGCCAGGATCGGCCCTCCCGAAGTCTCCTAGCAATGGGACGCTTCGGGAGGACCAGCCTGCTAAGCCTGTCACTCTCATACAGACTGCGTCTGAGGGCGGCATCTGAGGGGAGGAGCCGTGGACGCAAGCCGGCCTGCACGTCACCTAGCAACCAGACGCCGCCGCGGCTGTGCGAGTGGATGGATCCCAAGTCCCTGACAGAAGCATGGATTTTCTTATATGGCTTGGTCCTGTCCTTTTGTGTGGGCTTATTGCCAACAAATTATCTGTGCTGAATGATATCATAGTTAACAATCTGACCATGGACCATCTAGAGCTTGAATTAGTCCTACTGGTGCATATAATTTACACAGACAAACCAAGTTATTAGTTTTCTTCCATACTGCTTACGTGATATGGGAAATTTTCTTAAAATGGAAACCACCACTCCCACCTACTGCGGCTTCCTGGAGGATGACCATAAATAAAACACAAACTAACCTACGTTAATAAGCAATGCCCAACCACATTTTGTCCAAAATTTGGTTAATTTGAATAATGAAAAGTAATCTGTTGTTCCCCTTAAATAAGTAGCCATATATATAATATTTGGTTAAAATTGAACTCCAAACAAACACCTAAATGCACAGAAAAAAAACATACATAGGAGCTGTTCTATGCATCCAGTTCTGAGATTAATACAGCTTTCCCACACAGCACAGTCTTGTCTGGAAGGGCAGGAAACCTGAATTTCCTTCTCCCAAACTAGCTCTGCAGCACAGGGGCTTGCAAGAGGCAGATGCCAGGTCAATGTTGGCTTCTTACACTGCTCGCATTTACAGCCCAAATGGACCTTCCTATATTATTAATGTAATGCTTTCAGCATGCATAAACAATTAGTAGTGGACTTTTGTTTTACTTTAACACTACTATTTGTTGCAGCAAGGGTGAAATACCCTGTGCTGGTGGCACGCTAGACAGCCAGACCTCTGCTTAACACAGAGCTCAGCAGTTCGACACCTCCCATGCCTGTACTTCAATACTTCAATCAACAGTGCTCATGCTTAATGCTGATCCCTGATCATCGCTGTTGTTCAGAGCACTGAACAGGGGGGGTGTTGAATTTCTGGAGACCCCGATTGCTGCAATTTGTTTTCAACAGGGGGTAGCTCAAACTGCTAGCACAAGGTATTTTAACATTTGCTGCACCAAAAATAAAAGAAAGTTTAAATTTATTACCGTTTATACATCCTGCCTGCATTATTGTAATAATATAGTAAGTCTCAACTGAACTTTTTAAAAAATCCATTAAATAATGAATTAACGAATAAAGGGCTGCATTAGCTTGGGTCTTCGTATCTGCCTGCAGTTCAGATTTAAAGAGCCTCTAAAGCCCTTTTGGTATCTAGGAACTGAACCAGTGTTTTCTCTGCCAAATGTTAGAGTTGTTGATACCTTTTCTGAAGAAAGCTTCACTAAGTTTCCCATGTGTGCCTTCAGATTTCTGTTTCATTGATGCAAAAGAAGTTCGACGTTCTACCTCACAAAGTTGTTCTTCTGTCAAAGGAAGTCTATAGAATTCTGAAATTGTTTTCAGTTGTGCTAGAAGGTCCTTAGAGTGGAAAGAAACAAATGATTAGTTGTATTTGGAGTATAGGCAGCACAGTTACATTTTCTTGTTTTTGTTTTTTTTTTGTTCATGGAGATCAATGGAGATGTCCAGAAAAACTGAAAATCCCCAGTTTTTCATATACTCTACCATGTATTAAAAGAGAGTATATTCTCCCTCACAGAGTTAATGGGTTACAGATATAATGTATGACTCAGGGCTGGTCTAACCATTAAAGCAAAATAAGCATGCACCACAGAGTGTTTCCCTAGCTATCATGCCTCTAAAACAAAGTAACAAAATGAAAAAGTTTTTTTTAACATAGTTATGGGGTATGGCATTGGGCTGACCTGGAAGAAAACTCAAGAAGGTTTATACATTTTCAAACTTTGATTTCACTTTCAGCATTTATGGAGTCTTAGGAGTTGATTTACTCAAGGACAAATAGGCTGTTCGCTTTGTGAATTCATTCACTAACTGAAGGGAATTTTCACTTAGTGAATGCGGTAAGGCTATGTTGATGTCCACCATCAGATCATGTGCAAACAAAAATACAGTTGTTTTTTCTCTCTTCATGTGATTGGATATTCTACGTAAATGAAATGTTTACCACATTCACTAAGCTAATTGAAAATGCCCTTGCAAAGTAAACAGTCTACTCGCCTTAAGTAAATCAACCTCACAATGTCTTGTCAGTTAAGCAATGCAGGGGTTGGGGGGGGGGGG